CTTTGGGTTATGAGTCCGACTCTCTAACCATTAGGCCATGACTTCCCGTGATAGATCTTGTTTATATCAAAACTGAAACCAAGCCGTTCACACAGAACACATATTTTGAGCATTTTCTAGAAGGACATCTATCAGCGTTGCACTCGCGTATTGCACAAAAGAGCCGCATGTTTAGAAAGCCATGTAAAATTAATGCAATTTCACCTTTGAAAAAAAAACATCTTTTTTTTTGTATTAAACTATGCATACATACATGATGCTGTTTTGTTTATAGTTGTTTAAGCAACTTAATTATAATTGGTTTATAAACATTATTTTAAACATTTTGCACTTTTTTCACAGATAGTCATGTCATCTTATTTTTTTAATAAACGTGCATTAGTAATATTTTGCTCGATGCGCCCTCTTGTGGCCTCAGGAGAAAAGCCAAAAGCTTTTTTTCACCCTAACTGAAATTATGCATTTTAAATTCGAATATAATTCGAATTTTGATCATATTTAAGTACAAAATTTGAATTGAGTTTTTCAGCCATTTTGACAGCCCTACTCTGCTCAGTGAATTAATTAAATTGGGTCCAAAAGGTGATATAAATGGCAAAGCACATGTTTTCTTTGGCATGAATTGAAATCATATACTTTGACATAGTAAGCACAAATATATATATATATATATATATATATATAATTATATTATATAATATATATATATAATTATTATTATTATTATTATTATCATCATCATATTTCCAGTAGTCATTTTTATTATATTCTTATTATATTAAGCACCATTTTCAGTGTGTGTAGCTCTTGAATTGGACATTATAAGCTTTTATTGTTTGTTTGTTTTTTTTTTGTTTGTTTTTTTCTTTTTTAAGGACTGACTGTCCACTCTGTGATTGAATGAAATCTGGACCAGGAATTAAATTTAATGAAATGAGGAAAAGCTATGAGAAAAATAGTGGGGAAAAATATAATCAAGTAATAAAATATAATAAAAAAAGTTATAGTTAAAATTATATGAAAAAAACCTCAATCAATTGTATTAACAATTATATGTTAAAATAGAAACATAGAAATAGAAAACATTTTACTGGTAATATTTTCCACAATTTTGCAATATTTTTCACCATAGAAATGGTCTTCATGTATGAAAATGTATATAGCAGCTGACTTTATTTTAGCAAGGGGGATCATAATATTCTGGGGTCCATGCCAGCATCAAATAATTTGGCTTTAGGCAACATAAGTGATGGAAGCATTACTGTATTTTACACATTTCTACATATGCTGTATTTGAAACTTGTCCATTCATTCATTCACTTTATTTATTTATTTATTTATGGACCAGTTGAATGATTATTTTAAGAAAATGTCATATGAGCCATGTCAAGGAGAGTTTTATCAGATCAGTTGTGACGCAAACACTGACTCCCATACACAAACACACACTCTCAAACGCTCAGACAACATACAGCCAACCACAGCCAAAAGACACAGTTGCACGAAAGCATAACACAACATGCCTGGGGGTCACCAGGCTATTCAAGGCTATTTGTTTTCACGTACTTGGAAATGATCAAACCATTTTCCCTTCGCAGCTATTCACACAACAGTCTAATTTTAGCCCTGTAGATTATCCATGGTTCAGGATCTCAGTGTAACGTTTCTGAATCTTCTCCAGAACAAAGGCCACGCCCCGTTACACCTGACTGCTGCCATGAATTAGTAAACATGCTTTTTGTTCCTTCTGCTTCCTGTGATCTGGAGAGCTAAGCTAACCGTTAGGCTAACTCATCTTAAGAGCGGGCGCTTAGGCAGGTGTGAGTATCTGGAGATATCAAATGCCTCATATGTAGATACTGTAGTCTTGCTGGGTCATTACATGGCCGGTTTTGGTGCTGTTTATAACACATTAGTTTATTTAATGAAGTATTTTGCACTGCTTTCAAATGGCATAGATAAAGTCAATACAGTTATTAGTCCTGCATAGTCAGAGATATTTTCTCAGTTGCATTCCAATATAAATGACTTCTAGTGAAAATGCTTTTATTTTTATTTATTTATTTAAGTTTTGTTATATGGGTAAATGACATATTAAGTGTCCAAGAAAAAGAAAAGGAAAAATCTTTTAAGAATCTAATTTAAGCACATGTCAAGTTCTTAGAAATGTACATTTTGTATTTATATTGGTTTTATATGGTTTAAAAAAAAAAAACAGTTTAATATCTCTACAAATGTCATGTGGTATAACCAACAAGGTAAAAGTAATACCATATTTTCTTTAAACCTTAAAGTATACTACACAGTTCTTGTAGTACACAGTACAATATTATGAATTACAAATTTATTCATATCATGTTTTGGGAAACTGCACCACATTTCACAACCTAAACTAACCTTGTCTTGTGATAATAAAGTCAGATTATCTGACATCATAATTTTTGCATATTGACTGACTTCAATAGTCACACCTCTTGACGCTGATTTGGAGGGCAAACATTTTTTAAATATTAATAATATTTTATTTAGGACGTTTTTCAGTTTGCATCAACTTTTATTTGCATTCACACGTTTTTTAAAAGTCCTGTATTTAAAGAATAATTGGAAAACTGCAACAACAAGCTTTTCAATGTGGTCTCACATTTTTTGGACATTTGAGTGTGACTTAGCATGTCACGTTGATTATGTGCTTCTATTCATACTGAGTGAAGTGACTGTTTCTTGAATGTTCCGTTTGTTCACTCATAATATTTCAATCAGATCATATGAGACTGACAGCCACTTGAATTTGTAAGCTTTTCGGGCACTAAGAGCTTTTGCTGAAGCCAAACATCTGGTTCTGCCTCCTGCTTGCAGGACTAACAGCAGCAAGCAAACTCATTGCGTGTATGTTTGTGTGTTGTCCATTTACAGCAGTTTAATATACCCACATTCTGTTTTCATGCCTGTTTGTTCTCTACAATCAAATGGAGCAGGTGTTAGGGTTTGTATGTAACCCAGACCAGTTTATGGACACACATACACATGCACAAACAGACATGCTGATAAGCTGCTGTTTGCTTGCCAGAGTAGTAATAGCCCCTGGTAATGTGTAAAGAACATGATGATGGTGTAATGTTGCTTTGTACTCATTGGCCACCTGCTAAAGTCAGGCCTTACAGGAAACCAGCACTGTTGACAAGAACCACAAAAGAGTCACTGCTAATAAAGAACACACAGTGTAAACACAGACACACTAGCTAGCTAGTTTGTTATAAAGGTAGATGATATGTTTGTTTAGCTGTAAGATTCGTATTTTATTCCTGTAGAAAGGGAAGAAAACATATTAAAGTTTATATTTTCATCTTTGACCTAGCAGAAATGGCACATAAAAGTGAAGCTGGTTCAAAAAGCTTTAACATTATTTGCAGATGTCACTTGTCTGATATTTAGTGTCTAATGTAGAGATAACATAAGTGTCCAAATGCTTTTGGGGCCATAGTCTCATACTCAGGGAATTTATTTTTTTATTTTTTTATTTTTTGCTTTTAAAAATACAGTACAAAGGACGATATTACAACTACTTACATAACTGTTTTCTAATTTAATATTTTTAAAAATGTAATTTATTCCTGTGATCAAAGCTGAATGTGAGACCAGTCTTCAGTCTCACATGATCCTTCAGAAATCATGTTAATATGCTGATTTGGTGGTCAAGAAACGTCTTTTTTTATCAATGTTGAAAACAATTGTGCTTGGTAATATGTTTGTGGAAACCATGATAAATTTTTTTGTTTAGGATTCTTTGATGAATAGAAAGTTCAATAGAACAACATTTATTTGACATAGAAATCTTGTATAACATTATAAATGTCTTTACTGATACTTTTAATTTAATGCATTCTTCCTGAATAAAAGTAGGCCTATTAATTAATTAAAAATACAATATTTTACTATTTGCTATATATCTATTCATCCTATATTTATATGTTTTGTTTCTGTGCTTTCCAGAAACTGAGGAATGATGTGTTTCCATTGCATTTATCCGAGTTATCGCCTCAGCATGTGGAAGCGTACCGGCTGCTAGAGGACAGGAAACACAAACTCTCACCCGAGACCGCCGCTCTCTACCTGCTTCGACAACAGCACAAACTATTGGTCAGTCTGCATGCATCTATTCTCCTAACCGTATGCCAGTGATCTTAATGTTTAAGGGTTTTGTTTTAGGAAAGTAAAGATGGAAGTGTTCTATTCTGCCTAAATGTTTGCTTAATATTCACTTAAATTGATTTTAACATCACACAAACATATACACACACCAGAGATATTGGATGATTGGATGTGTTGGGCCTGATGTAAATGAATTGCATTGATTATATGCACACACCAGCTTATATTGCTGTCACATCATGTTACCCAGTAGAAACTGTTCGTGAGTCATTAGGCTTCCCCTTTCAGTAGCTTCCAATACTGTTAAAGGTGTGTTATTCACAGACTACTGGATTACATGTACTGAATTTAACTCAAATGTATTGAGTTGAGTTTTATTGCATTATGTAGTGCACGTCTTGCCATTGGCTTATGCTGTATTATGAGTTATATCTGTTCTCATGATTGCACATCATCACCTTCATGTGATCATGGTTCTCTTTCTCAGTCTCAGTTTCTGTTTTTGGTTCTCTTGTTGTCAGTATTGTGGACGCACAGAGCTGCAGCTCCTCTCACCTGTTAGTTGCTTGGAAACAGCATTTTTATAAAAGCAGTCCATTAGCATGACATTTATCCTGATTTGGTGTGTTACAATTTTGCATTGTTCCGTAACTGAAAATGATCATGTAGGAGTGGTGCATATGTTTGTGTGTATGTGGAGAGGCAGTCAGTCATCAGCTTCTTCGATGCCTGTTTGGCAACTCTGTTTTGAGGGAACACTCAAGTGTGGTAAAAGAATTAAGTGTTAATGGAAAACCATCCGTGCAGAATGACATCTTGAAAATATGTGCATTTGGAGTGGTGTTAGCAAAGTGAGCAGTAAGGTTTGTCAGGCTTCTAGATATGGAAAAGAGTTTGTTTCCTTTAACAAGATGATGTTTTTGGCTCATTAATGAAACTTATTGAGGACTGTCACATTATTCACGATTCATATTGGTTTCAAGCAGGTGCATATAGGAACAATCTGAAAACTGAGGGGACATTGTGACATTTTCTTACTCATGAATAATAATTTCACCCAGTTCACTAACCCAGAAGTTTTCAAACCAGGGTCCAGAAACCCCAAAGTGGGGCACAAAAAAGTGTTATAGGAAAAATAAAAAGTGTATTTTTGGGGCTGTAGATTTTTACAAATTTAAGATATTTATTAAATATATTTAATGCAATATTTAACATAAAACATTCTGATTTGAATAAAAACACTTTTGTGAAGAACTATGTTAAAAAAGTAAATAATTAAATTGAAAATGTTTCTCCAAGTTTTAACATAATATTAATAATGGGTAGAAAAACAATATGCTCATGCATACGTTAGTCAGCGATTTTGGATTTTGTACAGTGATAAATGTTTAATTTTTAAAATAACATCTATTTATAATATCGAACTTCGTTGCGATGTAACAGAAGTAGTGGCAGATATTTTCTTTCGCATTGTAATATATCTTTTGGTGGGAGGAGCAAACGACAGACACAGTGGGTGTGGCATCAGGCCTCGGAGAGGCTTTTATTTAACAGAAAATCAAGCAAAATGTTCAAAACGGGAATAAAGTGTCCAAGGGAACATGGTGTCCAAAATAAACAGGGGATCTGGTGTCCTCGTTGTGCCGGGGAATGGTGAAGGAAGGGAAGTGTTCAGAAAGGAGGGGTCCAGCCGCACGCACTCCCCTCTCTGGCTTCGTCACAGCGGCTCATCTTCCTTGGCGCGCGGCGGTTGAGGGGACTAACGGCCCGGCATCCTGGCTCGTCGACCGTGTCACGGGTGCGGTTCCATTCCGGACAGCAGGTCCGACAGCTCGCGTCTCTGGCGGCGTGGGAGTCCCTCTACGCTCCCCTCCTGGACCCACGAGGACACCAGTGTGCATGCACAGGGGGAAGAGACCAGTCTCTCGAGGAGAGGTGCGCTCTGCTTTTAACAGCGGCGGTGACGAGGTTCCATTCGCTTCAGGTGTGCCTCATGACACGTCACCAGACCTGGCTGTTTCTGCGCCCCTCCTCTCTCACACACCCACTCCTGTCGGGAGCCTGGTGAAGGGCAGCGATTAAGGGACGGGGTGATGATGATAATTAGGGGGGAGGCAGCCGATCCATCACAATCTGAATTAAATTAATCAAAATCAAAAAAGAAAAAAAAATTGTGTTCAGTCCATCGGTTTTTAATTGAATGGTGGCAGATCTGAATGCAATCTTGCAGTTGGTTGTAAGAAAGCAGCAGAGTTTACAGTTTACATGAACTTTACATGAGTCGTTTTCCTGTAAGATCGAATTATTATGACATTTTTGGTCAAATCTAAAAAAAATATATAATAATAAATATGTATGCATGAATGAATCGTTCACAATAAAATAAATACCATTTTAAAATATATTTTCTAATGAATTTTTATGCAAATATATTGCAGCCTTTATTTTAAGAATGGGGTCCTTGATTTTTTTGAAAAGTTTGAAAACCCCAGAGAAAACTGAATTGGTTTATACACTTCTAAAATGTAAAAGTTTTAAAAGGATTTACTGTCTTTTTAGGACTTTTTCAGATATGTGACTAATATAGTAAAAAGTAGGCACACGCATGAAAACACTGTGTTTGCCCATGTTTACATAATTGCTAATGAAGTCAGAACAGCATTGTGACCACACTACAAGCCTTCAGACCTCTAATTTCATTATCCTTCTTATTAACGCTTAGAAGGAGCCAGTCTGGCCAGACTACTTCGTCCTTCTGTCTCTGTCTTCCTCTTCTCTTTCACAACCAAAGAGGCCGTTAATACCTGAAGAAAGCTGTCTGTTAGCTTTCCAATTAATCTCAATGCTAGTTGCTTTTTTTTAGCCAATCATCTGAGGTGTAAATGTCATGTGACTAATCACTCTAGAGCTGTGGGAAAATGACATCATGATAATGTTAATTGGCTAATCACACCACAAGAACATGCAAAGTCTAAAAACCTTCACTAGTGACTATCCTAATCCTAATCTGTGACGTTAATCTGCAAGCATTAAAACTAGTCCCAACGGGTGAGGGGACTATGAGAGGCTAATGAGAGGCTGTCCACCAGTATCGTCTCCACACGTGATCTCACATCTCTTCACACACTCACATCCCTGTCTCAGTCCTGGAAACACTCACACACACACCTCAAGTATCTCTTATCTTCAACAGTGAAGGAGTGTGATATGGAGCCTGCAGGTGCACATGTGTACACACAGAGTCCACAGTGAATGCCAATGACGGGTGAAGTAAGATTTCTTACCAGACATCCTTTCATTAAAAATACTCTTCCTGTTCACATGACAACAAATTACTGCTGTTTTTCTCAAGCGTCGTACATTCCGCTCTTAAAAAATAAAGGTTATTTATTGGTATCCATGGTTTCATGAAGAACCTTAAATATCCATGGAAACTTTCCATTGCACAAAAGGTTCTTTAAACTAGAAAAAGTTCTTCACACTAATCAAAAATTATTCTTTTGAGAACTGTTACATGGCACATTCTTTGGGGAACCAAAAATGCTTCTTTAATTGCATTGCTGTGAAAACCCCCTTTTGGAATCTTTATTTTATAGAGTGTTGCCCGTCTTTGTGGTCCCCCTTAATGTGTTTTGTATCTAGGGCTGAGAATCATTACAGATTTCCTGATTTGATTCTGTTCTGATTCACAAGCTCTCAGCCCGATTAGATTTGATTCTGATTCATTTGGGTATATTTCAGATACAATCTCCATTTTGCTTAAATACAAAATAAATGTTCTGTCTGCTAATGCTGTAAATTATAGAAGACTGATTCAGACTGATTCACAAGAACTGACTCATACAACAAAACCAGGTAACACTAGTTGTGCTGTATGTATCTGATTCTTCATACCAGTAATGTGCCACATTATACAAATTTTGGGCTCAGTAATAATATTTTTGAAAGAAATTAATACTTTTATTTGAGAATAATCATGAATCATTGGTCATTAAATTAATTAAAAGTGACAGTAAAGACATTTATAATGTTACGAAGATATATTTGAAATAAATGCTGTTTTATTCATTAACAAATCCTAATTTCTGAAAGATCATTTAACACTGAAGACTGGAGTAATGGCTGCTGAAAATTCAGCTCTGCCATCACAGAACTAAATGACATTATAATATAATATAATGTAACATATAACATAGCATAGCATAACATAACATAATATAATATAATGGCTATTTCAGTAAACAGTTATTTTAAATTGTAATTATATTTCACAATATTGCTTACTTTTGATCAAATAAATGCTGTCTCAGTGAGCATAAGAGACTTTCAAAAACTTAAAAAAAATAAATAAATCTTACTAACTCCAAATGTTTGAACTGTAGTGTAAATTAGATGGTAGACAGAACGCAATCCTCTTCTGTGCAGCTGAAAATTTTTAATTTCTGGCTTAATAAGGTGAGAAAAGCAACATGAGGTAGCAGTGTCACACATCTGGATGAAAATGATACCTCTGACATCTCCCTTTCTCACTTTCTTTTGTCTTTCTTCGAACATCTCCCATTAGAAGAGACAAAAAATAAAAGAGCTGATGACACAGGAGAAATCAGCGGAGTTGAAATCTCGTCCTTCTCTGCCAACTTTCACAATCGTTTTTCCTTCGCCTGTGAGAGAATTCATTAAAATTTCACTCAGCCTGCGGCCTTTCTGTCTCCCTCTCTCTCTCTCTCTCTCTCTCTCTCTCTCCCTCTCAATCTATCATTCTCTCTTTGCCTTTTCTCTCTCTTAATGAATGGAGCTTTGAATAATGTAACCAGTTTTAACAAGATCATAAAAACTCCCATCCAGCATTCATAAGCCAGTTAGCTGAGGTTGGGGATCTTGGGGACGGCGGCACGCACACGTTAAGCACACCTCGTTTCTCTCACATACTCGCACGTACATGCACTCGGGCATGTGCACGCTCAAATGCAACTCAAATGTATCTCTTC